ACCCTCCCTACCCAGAATACTCTTCAAATGTCTTACTCGTCCTCAATACCTGACTCAAACCTCACTCATTCAAAAAGCCTTTACAGACTAAGGTCAACATACTCATACTGCAGCAATTACCCAACTCAGAGACCTTGAGGGTGTGAGTCAGGGCAGTGGCAAAAGGAATGCACAAGAGAGAATAGATTGGACATCTGTGATGGTGCTCAAATGGTCAGGGTTTGGTGGCTGGTGGTGGATGCTGTGAAGGGAGCCTCTTGCCAGAAAATCACTTAGGAATGAGGCCAGGGCCATGGAGGGTAGGTGAACACTTCCCATACAATTTTTACTGGCTCAATATTCAGAATCTGAGGCAAAAACCATCAATAGTCAAAATTCTTAAGGTTTTATATTTTGACACAGGAAATAGGAAGTAATAAAGAAATATTTTCATAGCCCAGAAATCTGCAGTTGACTCTAATTGCATTGATTTCTCATTAAGAAATGATTCCCCTGCCCCCACTGACTCTTACATCACACACACCCAACTTAAAACCAGACAACTGATGTCATCTCTGAAATTCTCAATTCTGGAAATATGAGAAATGGAGGATAGATGGTTTAATGGCCCTTAAGCCACCCATGTGCATGTCTCAGTCTGTCTTGCCAAAAAAATAAATTTGCTACAATCACTGTTTTTACAATATGCTAAAGATATATTACCCAAATAAGCTTGCTCTGCCACAGACTAAGTGAGCCGAAGGCATTGTGTTCCATCTTTACAATGAAATGCAGATTTCTCATTGAAAGACTAATCTTCAGTTTCAAAAGACTGAATAAAATGGTGCTTAAGAAGAATTATAGATGGTTAAATATAAGCTTCTAAAAACATCTAGGACAAGAATATTCTTTGAATATCAAAGCATTTTCATCTGCTTATGATTTAAACAAATTTTCTTTCAGTGGATGATCTCGTCCCAGTATTTTCTTCTGAGATCAGCAAACAAGATTCAAGGAGTGTGCTGACCCAGAGCCTTCTTTACCTAAGTCATCCTATTTCTCCATAATTGTGTTAGTAAGAGATGGCTTCACCAGGCAGTATTGGCTTCTTCCCCTGCCTGGACCTACTCACAGCAAAATTAAATCACATCCTACTGAATTCCTCCTGTGGGACTCTCACGCTCACATTTCACTCAACACTTTCTCTCAGACCACTACTCACTGGCACATACCAGTCTAAGAAGAGTCTGCTTACTACTAATTATCCAGCCCTCCCTTAAAAGACTTCAAAACCAACCTTAATGCCTTTCCTCCCTGTCATCAGATTAGGGCCTATTATAGTCTACAGATGAAGATCCCCAGAGCCCATGTGTGAGACAATGCAAGAATGTTCAGAGGTGAAATGATTAGGTTATGAGAGCTATAATATAATCTGTGGATTAATCCACTGATATGGATAAACTGGGTGGTAACTATAGGCAGGTTTAGAGTTTATCTTTTGTCCTTCGTGAGCAAAGCTCTCTCTCTGTTTCCTGACTGCCTTGAGCTGAGCAGCTTTCATCCACCATGCTCTTCTGCCATGATTCTGCCTCACCTTGGGCCAGAGCTCTGGAGTCAGCCAACCGTGGACAATACCTCGGAAACCTTCAGCTCCAGTCAACTCCTCCTCCTCCATGTTGTATATTGGGCACAGAGAAGCAAAGCTGACTAAAACAGTTCCGTACTGTTTTCTGTATCCTCCAGAATAACCCCATCTTCTTTCCCTCCATCACCCTCCCAACCCTTCCCCAGAGTCCTTTGGAAGCCATGGTCTGTTAGGAGTGAAAACCCTTATCTTCTCAACTTCTTTTATCTATTACCTCTCTCCAACAAAGGAAAGCCCAAGTAGATTGTAAAGGCTCTGTTTCCCTAGCAGCTTTTCTGAGTGGTGGTTATTTAGTTTAGTTTTATTTTGGTTTGGTTGTGTTTTTTTATTTATTGTTTTTGTTTTTGTTTTTTGCTTATACATTTGTCATTCCAGACTAAGACCCCTGATTCTGTCCTGAAAGCCCATCTGGTACTTCACAGTACTGCTTGTGTCAATCACTCTCATTAAATGGTAAAATGTGCTCCTTGTTCATTTTTATCTCCATTTCTGAAATTTGGGGAGCAAATGTCTCAGATCCTTGTTCTTTCTACCTGCATTGAAATTAACCAACATCCTACCTCTGCCCCTCATCCTCCCTTTTCATTGTCAGTAACTTCGCCCGTTCTAAAATCTGATTCAAGCATCCCTCTAATTACACATCATGGTCTTTCCAGCTTTGTTCTTCTTTAACCTCAATTCCAACAACTCTTAACTCCATTGACATATTGAAATCTTGGGCCAACCAGCCTTTTACTGGCCAGAATATTCTTGTTTGCCTCCTTCCCATTTAAACTCCATGGTCCATCTCTAAAATCATCCTCCACATACACTCCCAACTCTCATCTGCCCACCCTTCCCACCATGTACTCAGTCAATAAAACTCCAATCCCAGTTAAATTCAATGTTTTGCCTCCTCTATGCCTACACCCAAACAAGCAACTGACTGCCAGGGACAACCATACAATCCCTTTGACCAATCTTACTTTAAAATCTTACTTTGACTAATTGACACAAACAACAACTATGTCCTCAACATTAACCAGGAATTCCAGTGTATTGTCCTATTCAGTTCATTCTCCTGCCCTCTAAGACAAGTATCATACAATCTTCTTTGCTCAACCGCCACTACTTCCTACATCCTGGTCTTTGAAGTGATAACATCATTTCTTATTTTACCAAGAAAAAAAGGAACACATTCTGAAGAGCGCTTTCTCAGGGCATAACCAAACCTGGGGTCCTGTCTGCTGCTGTGTGTGCAGAGCCCACCCTCTTGTTAGCAGATATTGATCTGTCTGCTCCCTCTCTAAAGCCAGCCCCACCACTTATGTAATGTATTCTAGCCCCTCTTGCCTATGTGAGGATCTGAGCATGGAATTATCTCCATTCTCTCTTCAATAAGTATTTTTAGCCTCCTGCCAGATCAACCATATCAGTGAATGTGTTGTAATATTTTTCTTTTGAAAAATTTTTTTAGAAAGAGAAAAACCCTTCTTCATTTTCTTACTCTTCCTATTAACCCCACCCTTCACTTTTTAGCTCCTATTCACAATAAAACTACAGATTCAACTTAAAATGTGCATGCACCTGGATAAATCCATCCTAAGTAGAAAACACCATAAGTTGCAATCATAAGTTAAGACACCTAGCCTACCACTTACCCCAGCTCAGCAACAGTGTACTGAAGAGTAGCTTGTTTACCCTGTGATCAAGTGGCTGACAGGGAACTGCAGCTCCGTGTTCCTGCCCACCATCTTGAGAGTATCTACCATGTTAAGAGGAATATTTGAAATTCAAAGTACAGCTCATCACTTTCAAACTCGTGCAATCAAAAGAACCTAAGTCAAACCTTTCTAAGCCAGGGCCTGCCTGTCTGTCCTCCAGTGCCCATGCTCTCTGCATCCTATTCTGTCTTGAACCCCTTCCATTCCTGTTAATGTCCTCTCCATTTCACTAAAACCATTCCTCTCAAAGTATCTAAGAACCTCTATATTAGCTGATTTAATAGTATTTTCTTAGTCTTCAGGCAACTTTTGAGCTTCATCCAACAATTCGAAAATTGCCTCTTCAGTAGAACACTTTTTTTTCCTTGAACTCTAACATCACCTGTATCTGGTTTCCTTCTCACTTTGCTGCCTATTACTTCCCAGTTTCATTTACTGGATTCTTCACACCCACCCCAGTTCAGTCCTCAGCATTCTTCTGTTGACATGCATATCCCCTAAGTAAGCTTATCTATCCCATTCCTTCCCATACTACTTATATGCTACTGCTGGCCCCATATTTATATCTTTATCTTGTCTCCTAAACTCCACATATATCCAACTCCCTGCCTGACATTGCCACTCAGATGTGTAACAGGAATCTCTGCAGCTGTACTTTGAAACCTACAAAGAATCCCTGCTATTGGTGACCAGAGACGATATTCTGCTTCACCAGAAATCAGACTGTGGCAAATGAAAAGTTCAGTGTGGTTTCTTCCCTCACATCATTATGATTAATTATGCTGCAATGAATATTCACATACATGTCTTTTGTGCACATTGCACACACTTCTGTTGGGAATCGTGAGTTCATAGGGCCTGCAGAAGTTCAACTTGAGTCAAAGTGTCAGACATTTCCAAAGTGTTTATATATTCTCAGCAGTTGTAATTTCTTATTTTTACATTTCTGTCTCTACTGTCAGTTACTTTGAATTTTATTCTACTGGGTGTAAGTTTTTTTCCTTTGCATGTTCTTGATTACTGGTAAGGTAAACATCTTTTTTTATTAGCCAAGAAAACTAAAGTATGATATTTAGAGATGTAAGCCTAGGTGTTCAAACTATAAAGGAAGCCAAGAAAGTGATCTCAATCAAAATTTGGGGAGTAGTCACCCCTCAGAGGCATGGATGGTAAAATGCCAAATGAGGATACACAGAGGATGGGGACTTGTACATGCTGGAAATATAGTATTTTTTGCTCTGTGACATCTTCACAGGGGAGTTCACATAGTGACAGACACTAGGCTGCAAATTAATTTTGTATGCTTTTCTACATTTGTTTTATTTCACACTAAAAATTTTAAACAGAAGGTAAGGTAAACAAAACTATTTAAGTACCTTCTACACCACGTGTGTTGGGCCATATGACACATACTAGGAATCCAAAGATTAGTGAGGATAGTTCTTTTCCTCAAGGAAAAGAGAATATCTTGAGATACTCATGATGATGAACCACACGAATTGCTCTTGGAGCCCCTGAGGAACCTGTGCAAATGTCAAGGAGGAGGGAATTCGTGATGACCTTGAAGTGTGAGTGGTATTGGGATAAGCAAAGAAAAAGAGAGATGTTGCATTCCTATTTTGATTTGTGACTAGAACTATGTACCAGGCCACACACTGACACTGATGCTCAAGCTCAGTGAAAAACAAACTCTGTATTAGTTTTCTAGTGCTAAAGTAACAACGCAGCACAGGCTGAGTGGCTTAATCCACAGAAACATATTGTCTCACAGATCTGAAGGCTAGAAATCTGAAATCCAGGCATGACAGGTAGGTTCTAAGTGCTGCAAGGGAAGTATCTGTTCCAGGTCTCTCCTGAACTTGTAGATGGCCATCTTCTTCTTGTAAGGTCTCTTCACATTGTCTTCCCTCCATGAGTGTCTCTTCAAAACTGTGTTTTACAAAGACACAAGCCATACTGGGTGGGAGCCCATTCTAGTATTTTGTTTAAACATATTACCTTTATAAAGAAATATAAATCTGTTCCCAAATAAGGTCTTATTCTAAGATATTGGAGGTTAAGATTTTAATATACAAATTTTAGTGGAAAATAATTCAACTTATCACACGTTAATATTCACAAATTCACACACAAGCATGCACTCCCATTCATATGCACTCAGAAAGACATGTAAATATCTATGCATATACACACTCACATTGCTGGGTATGTGAGAGACTCCCCGCTGAAGGTAAGTTTTCTTCTCTGGAGAACATCACATAATCACTTACCCCTCCCCCTCCTCTCCAAAGGGCACCAAATTCAAAAGTTTTCTCCCTGGGGGACACAGTGTCCACTTGCCCTTCCTGAGTCACCCTGCCAATCAGCACCCACCATGTCTGTTGCCTATGCAACCCTTTTTAAGCTGAAGCTTGCAAGCTCAGCTCTTTGCCCTCTTCCTCTTCTTTCTCTCTTCTCCCTGTTATCTTCCTCTGCTCTCTGCTCTCTTCCTCTGCTCTCTGCTCTCTTCCTCTGCTCTCTGCTCTCTGCTCTTTGCTCTCTGCTCTCCTCCTCCTTCTCTCCTCTCTCTGCTCTCTGCCTCTCCTTTTCTTCCCCTTCGGCAGCCCCCCAATAAAATCTTGGTTGAATCTCCATCCCGGGTGAGTCACTCACCTTTCACTCATAGCCTTACAACACACATACACACACACACATACACACATGCACACACACACATACACACATGCACACAAACACATCAACATCTGGATTAGACATCTTCGCACATAAGTACACTCACATGCAAGCAGACAGGGAGCGTCTCACCCTGCTTTCTCTCATCCATCTCTCATAACACTCTGTCTTCTTGTGGGAATTTGACCTAAGCCAAGGAACACAAAATCCTTCATAAATCAAGGATCAAAAGAAGTAAGAGAAGATAGCCTCCTTGATTTCCAGTGGCAAATTTGGGAAAAGGCAAAAAAAAAAAATGGGAAAAGGCAAAAGACAAAAGCACTGTCATGCCTGGAAGAGGCCAGTCTGCTAATAGAAAGAATGAAAGAGAACTGCATGAGGGACTAAGGGAGTCTCATGATCCTTTTCCCCAAGTCAGAGCCAGCCATAGGGACAGCTGTACCCTTGCTTTCTCCAAGTTCAGTTACTCCCCTTTTCTGCCCAAGTTAGTTAAGCATGGGTTTCTGTTACTTGTCATTTAAGGAGACCAGATTTCATGTAAGCACTTTCCATTGGAAATCTGGGAGGCCTGAAAATATCATGAAGATAGTGGGCGATGGAAATGTCCCATTTTGTTTCGTTTTGTTTCATCATTCCAGTTGCATGCCATTCTCCAACCACACTGCCTTCCTTCACTACTTCAATTTTGTTACTGTCTTTGAACTTTGACACTCCAGCCGCTCCTTACATGGCAGGCTCCGGTGTGTTGGTTTCTCCAAAACCAATTCCCGACTGCCCTAGGATAGATGGTTCCTTTTTCTAACCAGAACTGTCTTTTCTTCATAGAGCTTTAACACAATTTTGAAGTCATTTTATTTAGATGCTATTGACTTAGGGTTATTCCTCTTCCCAGTTAGACCATAAGCCCCCTCAGAACAGGCACTGGGGTTAACACTATTTCCATTTTATCCTCAGAGCTCAGCACTCAGCATGGCCTTGATGGTGCCACAAGGAGGTCAGTGGAAGGAAAGAGGCGAGGAAGGAGGGTGATGGACTCTCTATTTCCCTGTAAATTCCCAGACACACTCCCCCAAATCTGAGCATTCTGAGAAGAACATTTCAACCGGCAATTTTACCTCCAATTTCTATGCCTTTTGTTCAACGAGTGCTTCTGCTTTGACTCCTCTGATTCTTTCTCCTTAGTCCCCACCCATGGGAACTGTGCATCCCCTGAAACACCAATACCATGTGACCTTCTTGCTTTAATACTGTGGTGTCTGTGCCCCTGATTTTTGTTGGGGTCACAGTTGTACGATTGTTACCATGCATTATCTTGTTCAGTTTGGGGCCAATGAGAAAACCTGTAGAGAATTTTAAACTGACTTCAAGTAATTTCAACTCCCTCCTTTCTCCATTTATTGGAATTTCTTAACCCCAAAGCTTTCCTTGAGGGCAGGCCACAGGCAATTCTGAATTTCTTGGGCAGGAATAGTGGAGAACAGTATCTTACTCAAAAACAAGCAAGAGACATACAGGTGACTTTCTGCCTATAGAGTCCTTCCTCTCTGGCACCAAGGACAGAGAATTACTTTAAAGTCTCTATTCACAAAATCCTGTTTGGGAAAAAAAAATGTTTTTCAAAGTAACACAGTTGGAGGAAATGACTATGGTTTATTAACATTCCAGAGTCTTGGATACCAAATTTGTCACTACCCACAAGGAGTAATCCAGAGAAAAAATTTACTTTGCTAAGGTGTTTTTCATGCAGCTGAAAACCACATCTCCATTCCCTCTCCTTTCAGAGAGTGAATCTCTGGGAAACCAAATTGACAAGTTACTGGATATTCAGTACCATGTAGAATCATGCATCAGAAACCAGTAAGGAATGTTGCATTCACTTTGCCTGTAACTTTTTGCAGCCTTTAAATTGCCATCTCTAACTACATTTCTTCAAACAATATTGCCATCTGAGTGGTATCAATCAGACAGGATTGCCCTTTGATGTCAAAACTCTCCCAGTCAGCCCACGTGAATAAATTCTGATTACCTCTGTATTCTGCAGAGAAAGTGTATTTCTCTTAGATCATGGCCATGAGCTATGAGGGAACATTTAATAAAAAAAAAATAATATTGACTGTCCATCTGTAGATGTCTGAGACTAAAATTAGTGCATTGTGCTAACAGAGCCACCCCAGGCCTAGCTTCTTAGCTATGGCCTTTACAGTCCACTGCTTTGCCTAATTCCTAATTCTAAGCAACTCTCATGGCCTAGTTTGCTTTGTTGATTTAAAAAAATGCACCAGTTTAAACCTCACATTTCAGGTTTGATCGCAGTGGGACAAACTGGCTCATAAATCTTCACTCTGCTACTAGTAACTAGGGAGAAGTCGCTTTCTTCAGTAAACACCCCCTGCTTCTCAGTAATAGGGTGCCTTCCATCACCCAGAGGTTTTTTCCTTTTAATTGAGTGTTTGTTGAAGCATGACTCTGAGATAGGAGGCCTATTCAGGAATAGAAATTGCAGCCCAAAGTGCCCATTACTTACCTGAGACAGGACCCGAGACCAGCTGCACTTTACAGAGCCTGGACACTGGGACATGTGGATTCAGGCTGCTGGGCCGATTAGTGACAATGCCAAAAAATTATAGGGGTGCAGAGAGATCAGAGGAGTTTGGGTTTGGGTATTTTCTTCCCCGCTCCTGCCTTGAAAGCTGAGGGATTAAAATAAAAAGAATGTCACCATTCTGTCTTTGCTCCCTCCTCCCCATCCCACCCCCAAAACAGGAAACTCTCCCTAAAATGGAAAATCCAACTTCTCTGCACACCAGAACAACACATCTGTGTTTTTCCACCTGTTTTTCTTCTCTAACCCTGAGTAGTGTGCTTTCAAAGCTTTTTTCCACTATTCCTGATTTGAAAGAAGAAAAGAGCTAATATTTTTTTTCTACTTCCATTTTCAAGTCAAACATTACATTATCTGTTTTCAGTGTATGATTCTCTTAATTCTTTCAAACAGCCAATTTGCTTGGTTGGTGTGTTAGGAGCACCTCCTGGGAAGACCTTTGCTCTGTCTGAGCTCTCCCAGTCCTGATCTCATGGGCCCCACTTTTCCTCACCCAGAGTTCTTCTTACACATCAATATGGATGAGGTTTTACTTTGAACTGTTCATTCTTCCAGGAATGACAGATGTCGGATTAAACTGCAAAACTCCCCAACTTGACATTCACTGCATTCACCTCCAATCAATAAACACGTTCTGGTGCTTCTCAGCAGGAAGACGGTCTTCATTACAGCCCTCCTCAGCAATATATGGAGCTGCTCCTCCCCACCCCTCAGAGCTTACACTATTTTGCACATACCCTTCTCACCCCTGATGGGAAACACTATAGTGTCTGCAAATGTGATTTATTTGAATTCTAGCAGAAACATTTGAGGTACATCTGGGTGGTCCTCTGTCCTAAGCCGAACCTTGCGGTGCTGTAGAAATGGGTTATTACTGATACCTAGGAATAGCTACAGCTTCTCCTTGGCTGCTATAAATTATAGTATGCCCTCGCTGTGGTATCCAACATATGTTGGGCCCTCTGCCTTGAGACAAATAGGCACCAACATCACAAATATTTGTCCAGCAGAAATTCTTGAAGGCTATTCTTCCCTCTCTTCTTCAATACAACCAAACCTCTGCTTTGATCCTTGTCCTCATTACCTATTCTCATGCACAACCTTCTCAGTTGCTTGGCTCCTTTCACCATCCCAGATCCAAAAGTCCCCCTGATTCCTTACTATCACCTATCCACTCTCTTCGGTCAGCAGCTGAAAACCCTTCACAGAAGGGAGATGACTGCTGAGCCAGGTTTTCAGAGAGGAACAGAGATGAGCTGTTGAACCGAATATGCAGAGTTACACCAGGCAGGAAACAAACGCATGCCCAGGAATCAAGAGCTGTTCGCTGATACAACCACTGAGATACAACCACTGATAAAACCACTGAGCCACATCCCTAGCCCTTTTTTAATTTTGAGACAGAAAACTCTTAAGAAAAGCTCAAGTAAAAAGGAACATTACTATTGATATTGAAGGGAATAGTAAGGAAAGGAACCTTTGGCAAAATAAAGAACCAGGGCCACACAATCCTCTTATCTCCACTTCAGCCAGAGCATCTGTTCCATTCTCTTTCTGGTAAATAGCTTTCTCTCTCCACCCATTCCAATAATTTGGAGTTGGGCTACTTGGAAACAACAGCCCTAATTCCATAGACCTTAAAAACTTCCACCAGGCATAACTCAAACTACACATGGAAAAGTGATGTGATTGGTTCACCTTTAGTCAGGTGATCACCTCTGGCCCAATCAGCTGTGGCTCAAGTGGTGTACTATGAGGTGGGCCTGTAGGCCTATTTCTTCAGCAGCTGCCATGGGAAGATGGCATTTCCAAACAAAGGAAGTAGGTTGAGCAGGCAAACTGGGCCTAGGACAAGGGAATTCTCAGTAGCTTAGTATTCCTGAAACTTAAAGAATATGGCAAAGAATGGTGGAAGTGAAATCTGGATCTTTTGACATCTACGTATCCCTGGACATGGCTCTACAAATTATTGACTCTTGGTTTACTCATTTAAAAATAGATTTTTGTACACTTTTAATGTTTCCCTAATTTGATTTTATTAGGCATTTTCCCACTGAAAATTATTATCTGATTAGTATCGCCTTTGGGAAAGAAGGAAATGCTCCAATCAAGCCTCTCTCCTAATCATTCCCAGTGACTCTATCAGGCTCTTTCTTCCTACCCAAGAAATTCATTCTTGTATTATCTGTGCCAAATAGCTAATAATTCCCATGCAGACTGTTCTTGGTACAATTTCCCAAATTAGATAATAAGTTTTAGACCTCAACACCTACTATTTTTATATTCTTTCTTCAGTATTTCTTTGACTATCATTTTAGATGTTGAAGTACTCATTGGAGATTCATTATTTGGTATGTATTATGATTGACTTCAACATCATATTACAATTTAATAAATAATCTCCTAGGACATGTATTTGGTTCCTATAAGTTGCAGAAACCTACCAAAACTATCTTCGGCAACAGATTGGAATGTATTAATATTAGGGAATATCACATCTAATCACAAGGCAGGGAAATAAGCTGGACAAAAGATTAAGAGATTCAGAGACTCACAAAAGGAAATTATCTATCTCTTTCTTCCAACCTTCCTCTAGCCTCTTTCTCTTCTTCTTATTTTCTTTCCCTTCTATAGCCCTTTTTTAGTGACTAAGATTATAATACACTGATGCATTGAACGCTGGATTCAAGACTTTCCTTGATCCCAGATCTGCAGCTGCTCTGAAGGTTAACATCATACATCTTCACTCCTGGAGAGAAAACCTGACTGTTTTCTTGGTTTGACTTTTGAAATTCTGACTGGTTGGCTTGGCTGGTCAGGTGGCCACCACTGAACCAACAGAGTATATGCAGGGAGGGGTGAGTTATGGGCTCTAAGAATAGGCTGTGCCTGCTGAATCTGAATCCACATGAAGAGAGAATAGCAGTTCCCAAAACAAGAAGTGTTCAAGTTAGGTTACAAGCAAGTACCGTAAACTGATTAACCCCAAATCTCTGGAATTTAAAAATAATCTGTTTATTTGGGTAAGTTGCTCCTCTCCACAAGGAGAGCAAGCAGGTTTTGATAGATACAAACAGTCTCTGTCACAAGTGCCATGCTGTCCCCTAAAATAGAAATGGAGGAAAGGGTGCTTTGGTCTCCCAAACAATAAGTGCCCATTATGCTAGACATAATAGTTCCATTCACCACCACCAAGGAATAGTAATCCATGAAAAAAAAAATCTACAGACAAGAAGCAAATGCAAAACAACATTTAATATGAAATTGTGAAAAACTTCAAGGAAAACAAGAATAATGGAGTGCTAAGAAAATGTTGTGTTTCATTTTCTGATTTTGGATGGATCTTCTGAAGAACGTTGTTATTTGATGAGCTTCTGGATGTACAAAGTAGCAGATTGTAGGGGGAGGGGGGCAGGTACTAGAGATTGAACCCAAGGGCACCTAACCACTGAGCCACATCCCAGGCCCTTTTTATTTTATTTTTTATTTTTAAGACAGGATCTCACTAGGTTGCTTACAGTCTCACTAAATTGGTGGGGCTGGCTTTGAACCTGTGACCCTCCTACCTCAGCCTCCTGAGCCACTGAAATTACAGGTATAAACCACTATGTCCACCTCTTTTTTTTTTTTTTTTTTTGGTATCAGGGATTGAACCCAGGGGTGCTTAACCACTAAGCTACATCCCCATTCCTTTTTTAATTTTGAGACAGGGCCTCATTAAATTCCTTAGGACCTCTGTAAGTGTAGCAGCTTCTTAAACCCTCTTCCACTACCTAGAAAGTGACACAGTTGTTTAGTTGTGTGCATGTCCTCTCCAGAGTCCTTTTAGTGCCAAAGATTATAAAACACTGATGCAGTAAACACTGGGATTCAAGACTTTTCCTTGTTATAATTCCTTGATCCCAGGCTTAAATACATTTCCTCACAGGATCTTTATTTGCCATGAAGAGACTGCAGCTGGTTTGGTTTTCTTGTTATTGTTTGTCCCCCCCCCGCTTTTCCAACTGTACCCTTAATAACAGACTCTTAGAACAAAGCATTCATCTATATTTGTCTATCTCTGCCAGTTATCCCCAGGTCAAAGAGATGCCTCTGACACCCACCTTCAGATTTCTTGGACATCTTTGTTCCCCATTCCCTATCTCTTCCTCCTCTCTTTCTCCTCCTCTGGATGGAAGATCAATCATTATGGCCTCCATGCTCCATTCGGGCAGGTCCCTCTGGCTGACCTTTCCCTTCTTTTTTTTTTTTTTTTTTAAGAGAGAGAGAGAATTTTTTAATATTTATTTTTTAGTTGTAGGTAGACACAACATCTTTATTTTATTTTATGTGGTGCTGAGGATCGAACCCAGCGCCCCATGCATGCCAGGTGAGCGTGCTACTGCTTGAGCCACATCCCCAGCCCTACCTTTCCCCTCTTTATACAGCACTTCAAAGTAATTGTGAGGACAGAGTCCTTGGAGAGCAGGATGAGTAAACAGGACAAACATAGAGGAAACTAAAACTTGAAAGACCGAAAAAGAAATCTACTTATATGCGATGACACCTCCAAAGAAGTTTTCAAGACTGATGAATACATACAAAATTTGTCACTTATAGAAAATTCCAAGCCAAATTTCGAAGCTCATAAAAGCATCTCAAATCTCTAAGTCATAGTGCATAGTAAGACTCTTAGAACTTGAGCCCAACCTGAAATAGGACACGAGTGTTAAGCAGCCTTCTTCCCATTATCCTCTACATTCCCACAATGCCTTCATAAAAGCACCTGCCAGATATATCATGCCCTTGCCTCCCCTTGATTGGAAACACTGAAGCATAGGAAAGGTGGAGTGAACCACCCACCAAGTGCCAGAGGAGCAGAGAGAGCTCCGGGAATAAAACTCAGGATTCCGTCCCTAGTGCCTATCATTGCATGCAGCCATTCTGCTGCACATGTTTTTCATAATGTTCCCCAGAGGGTTTGAATTATTGCTGGGTTTTGCTTTTTTAGGCGGATAGGGAAGAATTCAGGTGGAGAACACTAGTAAAATGCAAGAAGTTAAAGCATTATTGGTATAACAAATAGAGAATGTTTTGTTCCAG